ACATGTACCAAACACACATTAACAAATGATCACATGCATTCATCACAATCTCAACCATAATCGAACAGCCATTCATGATGATCACTTTTTCAATATAACACTAACTTGCATTAATAACAGCAACAACCATTTTCTTCTCTAGTGGGAAAAATAAAATAAAGAAGGGAAGCTTTACCAAATTCAAGACAGAGACTTTCATCACCAACAATCACAAAAGACAGAGTACTTACTAAAACCGAATTCACGTTCCATACGTACACCGATGAATAAAAGAGTCAACATGTTCACCAACAAATGAACAACTCCTCCATGTAACCAGTTGCAAGAAAGTAGTTGCCATCCTTCATCTCCTTTAACCACTTTTCCTACATCCAATCCACCCATTTTTTGTAACCTATTTCCAAGTAAAAGCAACCAAAATCAACCTCGAATACTTCGACACAAGACAATTCAAAGAAAAGGAGAGAAAACACACTTGTCTATATACTCTACTCCTATTATATACTTCAAACTAATCTACAATTCAACATAAGTATATGATAAATTCCACATCGTTGACCCACACTAAAACCAAATCAGCTACTTCCTCCAAGCTAAAGTAGCATAATTTCCTGCAAAAATCCTAAGAAATTTTGAACCTTTCTGCTTAAATTCCTAAGAAAGTACGGATTAACTCGGTCAAAATCAGTTCTTTGTTATGGAAGAAACAGAGAAACTCTAAGCTTACGTAAGAGAGGAAGGACCCAGAAGAGGATTCTCTCTTGTGCTCTGAAACGAGAACCGACCCAAGAAACCAGCGAAACAATCTCTAGATTTCTTCGGACAATTGTTGACATACATAGTGATCACGAACCCGACAACGTTAGCGACCACGAAACATGGTACGAGCCAAGCGAACCAGCTCCGAAACTCTTTAACTCCTCTTCCTCGTTCTTCATAAGAACTTCGACTCTGATTCTGCGATCGTTGTTGCCCTGATAAAGGAGCAGATGACTCTAAGTCCATTGGATGGATATTGCTTTCTCTCTGTTGGGGTTTTCCCCAAATCGGAGCTGTCTCTGAATTTTTTTCACCCATGGAAATCGATTACAATTCGAGCTTTGAACAAAAATTTCAGAGATTTGAGATGTGTGTAGAGCGAAATTAGGTTGCTTTTTGGGTCTCTTTACGGGGTTTTTAATGGGTTGTGTGAGTGGACTTTGGAGCTTTAAGCAAATTAGGGATGAAATCGCCATGGGAGATCGATTGCGA